GCACACGGGCCTACAACATTTTCGGCTCCATCGGAAATGCAGCCGCCACAGCCGGGATTCGAACCCGCGCCCTGCGGGTCAGCAGCCGAGTACCTTAGCCACTAGGCCACAGCGGCGGGGCACGGTCATGTCCTCCTCATCGATTACATAATTTGCCAATACATGAATGCGTGATATGTATACACCCTTTTCATAATCTGCAAGTGAACTTCCCTGGGCTGCGCACTCACCCAAATAATTTTGCGCTTCCAAGTGGAGATGACGACCTAGTTGCACGGGCTGGTGCACGTCTATCATGCGAGTGAATGTCAAGAGAGCCTAGTTAACATTTTTCACATCATAGTTCAAGTGAGCTGCGCTAGAACACACTGATTGCTAAAGTGACCAGCCATCCGATGTTGCGATAACTACATCGCAGAAAAGTCAGCTTCACAATTGCCAAACGGGTCTATTTTCACGGTCTCTGCGAAGGAATTGTGAATTGCCTGTTACCTGCTGCACTGTAGCACTTGGCTCATGTTCAAGGAGCCTGAACTACTGACCGGCAGCATTTTCAGATCGTACTCAAAAAGTGTCGCAGGGCACTTGTACTATTCCATGAATTTTTCTGCTTTAGCACAGACTGCAGACTGAGTGGTTCTTAGTTTCTTTACTATTTTGTAGGTTTCCTCTCTATTATATTGTTACTGGCAGCATTAAGTGGTTATAGATTGCTGACAGATTCAAACTGCACAATTCCCCCTTTCCTTAGTGCAGGGTAGCAAATCAGGTGCTCCAATTTCTGGTTAACCTCCCTGCCTTTCCCTTATTTTAATCTCTCTCTCTCTGGAGCTAAATAACACCGGTACTTTTGTTTTCACCCCCTTCAGTTCGGCTCACATCTGGGTAACTTTAACTTGAACACGTAGATCAGAGCCAATATTGTGTTCGTAGACCAAATTTGTTCCTGAATGGCATGGTTGCCTCGAGTTGCACATACCGGTGTTGTGCTAAAAAAATTTGATGTCTCGTTTCAATACTTGAGCAGCTGTACATTTTCCTGTTTAGGGACTGCAATTGTTTCAGCAGCCCATTCTTAATCCCTCGTGAACTTCCTTTTCATGGGGGGCAGGCTCCTGTGTCAGTCATATTACTTGGGCAGCATGCGTGCTCCTCTATGAATGCTAGGATCTAGTTGCAGACCGGGAACTCTTGTTCTTTCATCGGGACTTCTAAAATTACCGGTCTGCACGTTTAACACTTATTGCGCCTTGGCTTAGGTTGTCAGTCAATGTCTGCGATTTGTTGCCGGCATTGCTGAAGAGCACAACCTGATCTGCAAGCCGAATTCCCGAGACATTCTCCAGCAATCTGTCTTGATTACCATTCGTTCTAAATGATGTGGAATTTCATTGATATGCATGCATGTACTATTGGTGTCGAATGAAATCCAAACAGCGTCAAGCATATGCAGTGGTGTACTGCATGCCGTCCAGTTATCACAGTTACCTGCCTCAGCAGGACTGAGCCTATATGCGTGCCTGTCCATGGCGATAACTGGATGGTGCGTACTATACCACCAGGAATGTTTGCCGCTGTTCAAGTTTCATTTAAGGCCGATACTAGTACATTAGAGCATGTATATAAATTTCTGGAGCTTGTAATGATAGACATATTTCTCAGGATGTTTCTACGATTATGAAATCAGTCAGCATCCATGTCCCTTTACTTGTAGCATAGCTTGTCGAAGGATGAACAACATTTTTGCTACCTTCAGCATAAATTTGTAGGCAGACTAAAACGCACAGCATAACGCTTCGCTCGTGTGTCCGCAGAAGCCTTAACTGTTCATCAACAGTGTTGTGAAGCCATGCTCTAAGGATGGTGCTGAGACTCTTAACAACGATAGGTGTACATCGCAGTCTGATATTATTCAACCAGTCACACGTTTATATTTTTTTATTGTACTAACTGCCAGCATGTTTCTATCCAGGCGCTGTGACATACATGTAAGATCGTCAAAGGGCAAAGTTTTCTCTCGCATTTTTTGTTCACTACAAAGACCCTGTGTGCTAATGTTGGATTGCAGAGACTTGACATCACACTGGTTACTGAATGAAGATTTAATTTTGCACTACAAACATGTTAAGTGCATAGCTATTTGACAGGGTACACAACTTTTGCCCAGTGTGGGTGCTCAATTATGGTTCTGCAAAATATTAGTTACACATTACGCAAGCCAGATTTGTGTCTCGATATTCACTACTCACCTATTACAGTGCACTGAATCCTATGTAGTGTGATAACACACTGTACCTTTGACAGCTGCAAGCCTAGTTGCGAGCCTATTTTGATGTTTTTCCTTTTCTCCCGCGTAATAAATGCACCCGCTCCATACATTCACTCTTGTCTTGCAAAGAAAGTTGTGGCGCCTTCGTGCACGTTGATTTCTCCCGTTTTTTTATTTTATTTATTATGATAGGCCCTTTCGCTCCAACATTTCTTCGCCCGCTGCCGCGCGAAGTTCTTAATTTTTCTTTTCGCCTATGCTCAGTGCATCCTGTCTCTTTGAGTTATTAGTGCGCCACAACGAGATTCATGAACGATGCGAGTGCAAGACGACGGGGCACTAAAGCACACAGTGAGCGAAGGTCACGAAACTGCCGGCGCTAACCAACAGTCGTTTCCTGCAATATAATTTGCTGTCGCGAAGGGCCATCCATTTCTATTACGTCGAAGGTTTCCAAAAAACTAGAGAAAAAAAACTGCTTGTCGCCCAGAGAATGAACGGGACGATTTCAATTACCCGGTGGCGCCCCTGATCCTTGCTTCAGTTACAATTCACTCTTCAATCTTGTTATCCCTACGCAGTTCAAGACACCAACATTGTCATGAGTAAGAGCCCTTCAGAAGAAGACAACAAAACTTTGCAATCGTTGGAAACTGCAGGGGTGCGCACACCATAACCCAAGTCGTAATCAGGAGGCAAGCAAGAACACGCTGGCATTGTCAGTGTGGACTGAGAAGCGAAAGGTTAGATTGCCAGCTGATGCACTGGTGACGGGAGAGGCGGACATTCCAGCCTGCTACTGGAGATGCCAGCGCTCCGAGGTGTGGTCAGCATTCGAGTAAGGCTTCGCAGGGAAGCATCTAACGCACCCAACAAGTAAAGTAAAACCTCACTAATTTGAAGTCACTGGGCCCATGAGAAATCTTCCAATTAAGTAGCTTTTCGAATTTACAGAACACCCAAAAAATGGGAGGCAAGGAACTTGCAATCATTCAAAGTAATTAGGGCTGATCGTTTGCTGTGCCGGCTAGTTTGTGGCTTCTAACAGTTATGTTTTCCGCAATGCCTGATCTTATTTTTTGCCGCAAATATGGAGGAACGACGGGCCTCACAGCTGGCATCAGGAAAAAAAAAATCGTAATGCTGTCGTAATCAACTTGAATGTGCGCCTGCGGAAAACAGGATGTGCTTCACCGCAATGCAGTAGTGACACCCGGGCAGCATGTCGCTTGCTCCTCACTGTGTCAGCACGTCATGATGTGACCATTCGCCCATTGTTTCTGGTAAAATAGAGAATTTAATAATGGCTCGTGCGACGAAATTCACGATATGATTTAGCTGGACAACATGATCATTGAAGCCTTCAAACTTAGTTTTCGAAGTAGGCGTTGCAGGCAAGAACTTTGTCAGCAGTACAAGTGCGCAAGTTCTTGCGGAAATCGGAGGTTTGCATACACTGTCAATCCCGCCAAACTGTCCTTTATTAAATTTCTTTACAATAACAGAAATAATGGGTAAATCATGACTGACACACTGACGTAGCGAGAAACATGCGATATGCTGCCCACGCGTCATCGCTGTATTGCAGTGAAGCATGTCTTGTTTTTCGCAGGCGCACGCATTGGTTGATCACGAGACCGTCTCCCCCCCCCCCCCTCCCCTTTTCGTGCTATAAGTCGCGGGGCTGGGGTGTTTTGAGCTGCCCCTCATTATTATCGCTACGTTGCATTGCCTCATGGCTCTTAAAGGCAATAGTTTCCACGGATTTGCAGCGAAATAGGGATCGAGAATTGGCACATGGCACCCTAAGTTTTCTAATTAACCGGAATGGTACTGACCGCCGCTTCAAATTTTCCGCTCGGACATACAATTCAAAATACGGGCCCGTGAAAATATTTCGAATGAAGCGGGATTTCAAAACAACCAAGTTCGAATTAATGAGGTTTTACTGGACGTTTTTTAAGTGAGCCCCCTTCTGCAGCAAACCACTGAAGGCCATCCCCGGAGCGCCACATCACCGATGAAACACGTCAGGTCAACAAGCAGACGGCTACGTTAGACCTAACGAGTCAGAGACGCAGCAGAGCAGACTGCCCGCTTGTGTACACGCAATGGCTGGCTCACCGGTTTGGAAAAAAGACACCAATTAATGATGTCAGGAGCCACGGTGAACGACTGGATGAGTTTAGCAGCAGAGGAGACTTGGACGCTGAAGCAAGTCAACGGTACAAAGTAACGTCAGCCCAATTCATCAGCTGGATTAAGACGAGAGTTGCCGAACTATCGAACCACTAGCTGAAGTTAGTGTGTTTACTTCTAGTGGGAGTCAGTGTGCAGTGACAATTCTTTTTTTGCGTATTTGTACATATTTTAGAGTGCATTTTCTTTGATGAATGCTTTCGTTCCTCATTCCAAGTCTTGCCCGAGTTCATTGCCCAGGACTTCTAGAATCTGGGGCACAGATGTAGGCTACCTTTTTTCGCAGTCACATCTCACGCAGAGGGTAAGGCAGCAGCTGCATTCTGTCATTAATCTTGTTATGAACGATTTGTTTAAATGCTTTGGGGGTAGTTTGCTGCAATGTCAGTGTCATCATCGTGCGAGTTTGTCAAGAAGTTTGCAAAGTACGTCATAGCGTTGACACTACGACGCACTATGCGCACACTTCTAGGTGCCCTTCGAGATCACAGCAGTACTACTGTTGCAGATAAACGAGAGATTGCAAGAAAGAGAAGGTTGCAATCAGCTTTTATAGAGTGCATAGGGACAGCTTGGAGAAGATAATACCATCAACCACCGAAGATGAGTGAAGTGCAACAAATTTTTAAAAAGTCATAGTTTTGTCGCAAAGGCGAAGCAATGAATGCGATAGCCACAACTTGGAATGTAACGCTGAGAATGGCAAGCAGATTGAAATGTGCAGTGCGCTGCTCATGCACAAATGACGCACAAAAACAACACACACAGGACAAGAGCTAACTAACAATATTCACAGCTCGACACTTAGCGCGCTGTTGAAACAAAAACGATGCACGAAACGTAATGACATGTACAGATATGAGTGTGAACTCACAGGTGCCCCAGTTGCTACTTCGCTGTTTGAAAAGTGCGCTCTTTTCTCAAAAAAGGCCTGTGCAGCAAGCGAAGTGATCTTTGTGCACCTGGCAACTAAATGCAATCGTTCGAGTGAAAACCGAAGGCCCGCGATCTTCCCTACCACAGAATAAGTGTGCCGATAAGGGCCTCTCCTTTCGTGGAGCGCTCATGAGTGCATCGTGACGAGCTGGGTTCGGACCTTTACGCCTAGCACGCTCATTGTGCCATCTTGCTGGTAGTGCTAAAGACACACTATTTCCCCCAAGACAGGCACCGCCAGTGCAAAGTGATAGGTATAAATAGCTTGCCGTATTAACGTTGGAGGGGATTTTTCGTGGCTCAGTGGCTAACGTTGCGCGCTCACGAAGGAAAGGGTGGACGTTCGATGATTCCGTGCACCGGAGTCTTTTTGTAAATGTTTTTTTTCTTGCGTTTTCATATATAGATAGGTATACATATGCGATAACTCCTTTACCTTCATGGATTAAGTGCTACAAGTATTCATTCTTCCCTAGAACTATTAATGACTAGAAGAGCCTGACAAATGATGTCATTTTACACAAGAAACTGTCATTGTTTGAAAACAGCATCGCCTAAACCATCACTACACATTGCATTGTATTACCTGTTTTACTGTAATTATTGTGTTAGTCTGTAACTCGTATTCTACGTGTTACGTTATTATGTGTTATGTTACTCGAAAAAGTTGTTGAAATAAGCGTTTTTGAACTTGCGCCTTGTATACTCACATCTTACGATTTATTGTGTTTTCATTATTTCTTTGCATGTACGGATTCTCGAACATTTTTTCCACCCTGCCACGATCTTTCAACTAAAGGATCGCAGTATTTATTTATAAATAATTATACGGTGAATGACAGCAGACTGCAACCTCAGTAGAAAAATTCAGCTGAGAGTGTCCATGTACTGTAATTTCTATCGCAATAAAAAGCTGTTTCCAAACAGCGTACATCAATTGGGAAAGGTTAAGCTACCTAACTTTTTTTTTTACATTACTGCATTTTTTTGCTCATCCCAAAAAAGTTGTCATAAAATTTGCCACTTATAATGAGTGCACCTCCCAGTATTGCTTCAATTAAAAAAAAAAGTGTTAACTACGCGAGTATATAAGGTAAATCTAAGCACCTGGCCTAAAGCATTTTTGCCTCCACCGAATATTCAGCCGCCACCGATGGAGATTCGATCCTGCGATCCGCGGGGTAGCAGTGGAACAGCATAGCCATTAGGTCACCGCGGAGGGCTTGTGCACAAAACAGTTCAGATGATGGTGCAAAAGGTGGTGTGCATTTTTCTACACAGGAAAGGACACAAGGAGATGAAAATGAACATTCTGTTATGGATAATGAATTGAAGGTGTCATTGTCGGTGATGATGACAGCAGCACACACACTGGCGTGGCGCAGCTTGCTAGCGAAGTGGCTGTGGTATTCCACTGCTGCACATGAAACATGGTCTATCTGCTGCCGCTAAATGGATAACATTGTCACACTGGAGGGGCACAGGTGCCTGTGATAAGCACTACTTACTGTCAAAGACTGCATGAAAAATCTGGCAGTACATTAGCAATGTGTGATGAACAGCAGCAGGTGTGCACAGTTCACTCACACTTATTGTTGCTGCTTCTTTTCTATTGGGCACCTGTGTTCTGAAGAAGGAGCTAGACAGGCATACACGTACTGCTGTCGGCGCAGCTTCCTCCGTATCTTTCTCACAAACAACTGATGCTGCATCGGCGTTGTGCCAAATGAGCTGACAACACCATCCGGGACAGCTTGTCCAAGATGATAAGTTACAAGCGACGACCAGCGTCGCGGAATTTCTAGTGGGCAGAAAACACCACTACTGTCAGCAGCACCGATGTTGAACTCGTCTTCAAACGTGCTGTAACCTTCGTCGAGACGCAGATTGTGCAACACTGTACACGCTGTGACAATGTTAGCCGCACTTTCCGGATCATAGTGAAAAGGGTGGCATTGTTGAAGGCAGCGGAAACGGCTCTTCAGGAGCCTGATGCAACGTTGCACAACACTCCACGTGGCAGTGTGCGCACCGTTGTACCTGCCTTTGGAGCTGTGTGTGGGAGGATGGCCTGGGATAGGAGTTAGGAGCCATGGTTCCAAAGGATAGTTGCTGTCACCTGCGCAAAATTATAGACGGCATTGTAGCTGCCTGCCTGCACACAAGCTCGCTTCATTGGCTTATCCCAGCTGTGTAGTAATGTTGCAGCCGCACAATACGTTGCACAGACAGCAACGTTTACCACTTCTGGCTAAATCACTCGCCATTTGAACAAACCACATCTACTCACATAAGGATCGTGCTTTTATTTCACAAGTTCAAACTTTGAGCATTATGCAATAATATGAAAAACACTTTCCATTGGAAAATTAAGGAAGAATGCGTGGTATTATGATTATTACACGAGTGGATAATGCCAAGTCATGTATTTGCTAGCTTTCAAATGAATTGTGCCACTGTATTTTGCAGGAAATGCACGGCACATGAGGAGTAAGTGAACATAAAAATTCCATAGTCAGAATGGTTAAAGTCTCATGAGGCTTAAGGACAGGTAAAGCACTTATTAAAAAAAAACTTTGAAGTGCATATTCGCAGTTTAATCCCTGCTGGGTTAAACGACAGATGTGAGAGTTGAAAATATCAGAGGTTTAACATCCCAAAAGCACAATATAATTACGAGAGACACCGTAGTGAAGGGCTTCAAAAATTTCGACCATTTGGTGTTCTTTACCGTGCACTGACATCGCACAGTACACAGCCCTCTACCAGTTCACCTCCACCGAATTGCGACCACCCCGGCCGGGATCGAACCTGCGACCTTCAGATTAGCAGCTAAGCACCGTAACTGCTATGTCCCCGCGGCAGACCAGATGTGAGGGTTCTGAAAAGTCAAGGCAAACAGCATTTTTTTGGCAAAGAACAGCGGCTGCTGCTGCTGCAAGGCATCTTGAGATGCTGAGCAAATACAGTGATGTCATCTTCGTTGCATCATCGACAACAGAAGCGCCCTTGAAGTGATTAACGCTGCGAATGGCTCCAGCAAAGGTGCGATGCCGAACCTAGTCCAGGAAGCCAAGATTGCAGTTACCAGAGAAGCTTGTTCACAGTGCACTCAACTGTTTGTTGGTATGGCAGATATTACACAATTTCAACCAAGCAGCTGCAATGGGCTTGCACAGCACACGCCAGAGAGGGAGCAAGACTGCACATGCGTTGAACCAATGAGAGATGCGTGCATTTACGCACACAGGGCATGCACGCAGTAGATCTTGGCACTTACGTTGTGCCTGCAACAGCCGTTGCATAACTTATCGGTGGCTCTCTCGCGAGATCTTGACATGCCGAGAGCAGGACAGATAGGACAGCCGTGCCTGACATGAGCACAATGGTCACGACAGCAAATGATATCTGTGTGAATTTCGGCATTGTCGTTCATCCGGAGCTTGAATAAGTAGCTGGAACCCAATTGGATAAAAGATACAATGGATTATGATCACTGCTAAACTGAAGAACAATGAAATACTAGATCTGGACACCGTCAGTTTCTGTGCACCAGCTATTTAGTCAGAAAAGCATTCCTATGGGGAAACAAGAACGCAATTGCGCCATGAAGCGCTGCGCCAGATTTGTCGTACGGTATAACCTCGTTACAACGGATCTGTTTACAACAGACATTCGGTTACTACATACTAATTTGCGGCGTTATGCTGACCTTCCTATTTGTTCTATTGATTGAGCTTAGTTTATTACAGATTCTGGTACAACGAACTTTTCAATATAATTGACTAAAATGTGAGGCCAGCAAGGTGGTTAGGACACCTTTACAGCGGAGTTTTCTACCGCGGACATCTGAACATTTGTCTTCAAACATCGCTTGGCATACTTTCGAGACGAGAATGGGGCCACGGATATCAACATTCCGATTTAAGAACAACAGCTGCGTATCTCCGGTCTGTTAATGATGAGTTATGCCTAGCTACGGCAACGAATAATCGGCGCGCAATGTGCTTGATTTTGTGTGCTGGAGCGCTGACGAGCAAAATTGCTGGCCACTGCAACAACTGTTCCAAGCGGTCGCTGCGTGGCGAGTATGACTGGGGTCTGCGACCGATGCACAAGATTCACAGTTCTAATGAGCCAGTGGCCGATGTGATTTGTTGCTTGCGACAAAACACACAGTTTTTTCCTTTTCGCATATCTGCTAGCGCGACGGTTTTTCCCACCAACTTCGAGGCAGAGTTAGGCCTAGCGCCGACTTCCAGCAGAAAGCGCAGCTGTGAAGTGCATGGCTGTGGTGCCCGATGCTTGAAATTAAGACATGCTCGATCGCAAGTACAAAGATCTGTCCCACGATGGTCTTAGTCGCAAGGTCTGATGTGCTGATAAGCAGAACCTTCTCGCCAATGAGTCAGAGCTATGATAATCGGTTCGAGACGTGCGCGAGCGATTTTCGCGACGAGTACGACGCACGATCGTAACCTGAAGATTGAACATCCGCTTGCAGCTGCCTTAACAACCCATGAACACATAACTAGCGCGATAATGTCAAAGTAGCGCGATATTACAAAGCCGCGACCTCGCGACGCAGTAGAAGCAGACGACGCTATCCTGGAGGCGTATCCGGAACAAGCATTAGACTCGCGAGGCGTACTGGAGCAATACAGCAGCAGCAGCCAATCGGAATCCTCCAAATGAATTTTAAACATCTGCTTTTTGAACACAGAATGATCTTTACGAAATACTTTTAGCAAGAGCCCAATATGGTGGTCGGCAGTTGTGGCATCGCAAAGCCATAATTTTTTAATAACACCATTGTTTTCATGCGACTTACACAATGATTTTCACCACCTAAGCAGGCACAAGAACTTTTTACAGCTCTTCTATGTAGTATACAGTGAAAATATTTTGGAATCAGCTAGAAAAAAGGCTACGGACACTGAAGAATGATTCCCAAGAAATCAACTTTTTATGCCCCATTGAGAATAAATTCTACATGACTCGCGATTCTCTCCGGTTATAACAGAGCCATTCAAAGTTTCCATAAAAGTCTGCTGTAACAGTAGTTGGACTTTACATACTCCTTTTACAATAGAACAAAATCCTCTTAACTGTGGAGGTCTATTGTAATAGGATTATACTGTATTGTAACAGGATTATACTGCACGGGTATTTGGTAACCACTTTGAACTGTGGTGGTTGCTACATGGGCCAAACTGGCAGATGTTCGTCGGATCGCCTACAAAAGCATGCCTAATGTTAGAAATGAAAGGGATAGTTCTTGCAATGAATCACCGTGCATGTGGATGCACCACCATGTTCAAGCAAGCCAAGATGATTTTTTTTGCACTCAGACAAACCATCGCCAAGTCGAAGCCGCCTGCATGGCTAGTGATGAATGCCCATGCATAAGTAAGAAAGCTGGCATTCCTGGAAGACGCCGATGCAAAGGGAGAGAGAGGAAGGTCTTTTTGTATTTAGCTTCCAGCGATCCTTGTTTTGTTATTTCTTTTTTTTTCTCCTCCTACAATGTCAATGTGGATGTCTGTGGGAAACAATAAACTTGCAGTTGTCAGTAAGCGCTCGTTTCGTTCGTTGTTCCTATTCCTCCCACTGCTTTTTTGCTGCACCACTTTAACAAAAATGGTAATTCAACTAGTAGCCCTGCCCCAAAACCACTAGTATTGATCATTGGAAAAGCTCGGTTTGTCCTGTGCAGTAATTTGTGTGCTGCACTGAACAATATTGGTTAAAACAGCTTACTGCTTTGCCACACAATGGCGCGAAGCAACACTGAAAGGCAAGCTTGTTGAAGCCCAGATGCGGTACACGGTTCGTATGTTCCATGCAGTAAACTAATGCTGTAGGGGACAGCCTCAAATGCAGAGTACGCAGCACGATGTGCGCGAACAGCTTTGTATATACTAAACTAAAATTGTGTATTGTAATCCAGCTGCAGAACTGTTAGCATCTTTATGCTTACTTGCACCTGTGATGCATAAACAGCACTCTCGCATTTAGCTTGCATCATCGAGTGATGGGAATCTCCGGTCGAAGTGCAGCGCGGCTCTGCCAATAGAACCGAAGGTGATGTAGTTCCATTTAATTTATTTCCATGTCAACGCTTTTGCTGGGCTCACAGGCGGAGCAAGACAAGCTTTTCTTTTGCGCATTTCAAAACTCCTGCTGTAACAACCGTGGAAGCCGTTAAAACAAAATCAACAACAATATCTATCCTTGTTACTGATGAATCATTACCAAATTCTAAAACCACTTCTGCTTGGTTGTATTTGTGTACCTACTTTATGGCATATACCCTAGAGCTCCTTTTAAAACCTTTATGCCTATTGGTTCAAGGATATAAAATTTGTGTTTCAGATACAACTCTATATTTTCTGTCTGTTGGAGGCAGAAAGCTTGATTGAACAATATAAAGTCTGCGAATGCTGTGCAAACGCTTTTCCTAACTTCATTGCCATGTCTGTACATTGCCCGTTTCATCTAACATTATTTGGGCGCCGTGTTTTGCCAACATACTTCTTGTGACAAAGTGAACGTTCAAGCATGTAAATAACACTTGAACTAGTGCGAGTAAAACTAGACATTCATCAATGAATTTAGTCTCTTCTTTTGCTGTGGAAGTGATTACACGTACACATATTGCCAACTTGATCAGAAACGCCAAACTTTGCTGCTCGCATTAACAAAAAATGTGTTGAATCCACCACAATAGGTTATCTGGTCAAGCACCAAGAAAATCACAGTGCATAGCATACATAAAAAACGAGGGAAGAAAAAGGGAAGCACCAAACAGTTGGCGTTGAGGCGATGGCCTCTAAGACATAGAGGTGTCCCGCCGGCGATAATGTGTCCCTCCCGGAACCGACGCCGCAACCAGTTGGTCCTCCAAACGCGGACGTCATAGTCCGACCCCGGTCGCAGTGGGTCCACAGCCAGGATCCTCATGTCTGAATCGCAGATTTGGCAATGAAAAGTATGCGTGAAATGAGACATGTGTTGATGCCAAAGCACAGTATCGTGGCAGCAGTCAAAATAAAACATGGTCCGACGAATTTGGCTAAACGTGGATAATTGATGTCAGTAGTCAGCTCAGTGACCAGGACACTCACCTTGGAAGTGGGGCACTCATGTTCAAATCTAGCCCTATCAAGAAAATATCCCTTCTACAGACAGGAAGCTAAAGCCTCTGAAACTTCTTTAAGTGAACCATGCACTAAACATCTACCAAGCTATAATTAATTGAATTTGTGCCTTTCTGACATCATGTGTTCAATTTGTCACCACTAATTACGCTAACTTTTCAATGGTTCCTGTTGATTCCTGTGTCCCGCAAGTGTCTGTGCTTGAGCCATTGCTATTCCTCATTAATGACTTGCCTAATAATGTATCCTCGAAAATATGTTTGTTTGCAGATGATTGCATCCTGTACAGAACAATAACTAATGTTGCAGACATTTCACTAATTCAGAAAGATCTTAATAACATAACTAAGTGGTGTTAGTTATGGCAGATGGATTTAAACATTAAAAATTATGAAAGTATGAGAATTTCCTGCACACTGTAATGATTTCACCTATTTACGCATTTAATAACATTCCACTTGAATGCATAAACTTGGGTGTTCATATTACTAACAACTTATCATAGAAAACTCATATTGATCACATAGCCACCAAGGCCACTAGCACATTAGGATACTTTCGCCGCAAGTTTTCTCAAGCTCTATCATTACTAAAACTACTACTGTACACAACTTTCATTTGTTATGCATCGTCAGTATGGGACACCAGATATGAGAACCACAAAAAACTACTGGAAAAAATACCGTATCGCTCAGTCCGTTTCATTCACAACAACTACCAAAGAACTGTCAGTGTTACAAACATGAAAGACATCCTACACTTTCCACCGCTGTCGCATCACAAAAAACAGTCTCGACTCTGTCTATTCTACAAAATCTACTACCACAACGCAAATTTACATTCTGTATTCATTCAGCCACTGCCATACATTTCACTGCGCATCGACCATCGCCAAAAAGTAAACATTGCACACAGAAACACCATTGGTTTTTCACATTCATTTTTCCCCAAAACAACAAGAGATTGAAATAACCTACCTGCAACACTCAAGCATAACTAACACCAATAACTTCGAAATCACTCTTCAGAGCTTCATGTGAAGTTAACATCAGTGTTTGTTTTACACCTTTGATTGTTTTACGTTTTTGCTATGCTTCTAGAAATTTCGTTTTAAAACCTGTTACTTTTGCGCATTACGCCTACTAAGCCTAGAGCAGAGGTTTATAACTACAGCTCAAGGTGTTAGGCTAGAAGGGGACGAAGCTATTGAATATATAAGAACAAGAATGACAGAAAAATTTCAACGAAGAAGTGCCTTGAGCACCTTAATAGACAAGGATGGATCAAGTGGCACATTGGCTCCATTTTCGCTTTGAGAGTCGGAAAGGGCTGAGAAGAGGGTTCCTAGTTGTACATCAGCAGGCTCGGATGGCATACCAATTATGCTGATAAAGACATTGGGTCCCAAGTGTAAGCAGACTTTGAGAGAGGCAGCGAGCAAAACAATAATCGATGGGGAAGTCCCCTATGGATGTAAACTTAGCAGGATGAGCATGATCTATAAAGGAAATGGGGACAAAGCTGACATAAAAAACTACCGTTCTATAACAGTGACGTCAGTAATCTACAGGCTGGCGATGCAGATTATAAAGGAAAGACTGCAGGCATGGATAGAGGATGAGGGGATGCTGGGGGAACTGCAGAATGGGTTTCAGAAACACAGCAGCTTGGAAAACAATCTGTTCTCACTGATGCAGTGCATTGAAATAGCAGAAAAGGAACACAGGTCCCTGTGGCTAGCATTTTTGGATATCAAGGGAGCATACGATAGTGTGGTTCAAGAGGACTTCTGGGGAATACTGAACACACTTGGTGTGAAATATGGAGTGACTAATCTTTTAAAGGATATCTTTACAAGTAACAAGGTAGTTATAAAATGAGAAAAACAAGTATCCGAGCCTGCAGAGGTCAAACGGGGGCATAGGCAGAGGTGTCCTCTTTTACCCTTGTTATTCATGATGTAGCTTCAAGGATTAGAGGCCAAATTAGAGGGAAATGGACTTAGCTTCATCCTCTCTTTCGTCAAACCAGGAAAACTCATTGAACAGGCACTACCAGCATTGATGTACACAGATGATATAGTACTAATGGCCGACAACAAGGAAGGTTTGCAGGGATCGACAAACATCTGCAGTAATGAGAGAGATAGGTTAGATTTGAGATTCAGTAAGAAAAATTCAGCATTCATGATTTTTAATGATAATGAAGGTAGCGAGCATAGGAAACAGGAGGTCACGCTATAGATAACGGATAAAAACAAATATCTGGGCGTATAGATAAGCAATGGGGCCGAGTACCTAAAAGAACACGAAAGATATGAAACGACCGGAGGTAACAGGAATGCAGCGGTGATGAAAAATAGGGCACTGTGGAATTACAATAGGTACAATGGTGTGAGAGGAATTCGAAAAAGGGTCATGGTTTCTGGTCTGACATTCGGCAATGCGGTCTTGTGCATGAGACAAGAGATTGAAGCAAGATTAAAAGTTATGCAACGTGTAATAGGTATGCTTGCTTTAGGAACTCACGGGAATACACCAAATCAGGGAGTCATACACCAAGTCATAAAGGATGGACATCATTCAAGGGTAGGGAAGCTAGCAGCAAGATAAAATTTGAGGAGAAATTGAGAGAAATGGGGGAGGTGCGTTGGGCTAAGAAGGTCTTCAGCTATTTGTACATAAGGAATGTTGATAGAAAACGGAGGAAGCGAGCCAGAAAAGTGATGGGTAAATACTTGGAAAACAGCAGGAGGCCAAATTAAAAAGAACTATTGGTTAATAAAAAGGTGAAGAAAACGGGCATTGACGTGGAAAATAGGCATTATGAAGAAGTTGGCACTAGAAATCTATCGAAATTTTAAGAAGAAAATTACCAAGGAAAGGATTTATGATAATTCTTGGGGTACTTCTCTACTTTTTGAGGCCAGGACGGGAGTATTGCGAACCAAGACTTATCGGGTCAAATATGAAGGCGTAGACACGGTATGCAGTGTGTGTGGAGAGGAGGAAACTGCTGCACACTTGGTAATGTTCTGCAAAGGGCTTCATCCTTAAGTTCAGGATGATGGCGCTGAGTTTTTCAAAGCACTGGGGTTTAGGGACAGGGAGGGCAAAATAGACTATAAGTAGGTAGAAATAACTAGTAGGAGGTTATCTGATTGGTGGCTACAATCAAGGCACGAGTGAAAATTAAATCTTTCACAGCAAAGTGCCAGTCCCTAACTGCACAATTTAAAGGCCACCATACCTGTCCGACTGGGCATAATTATGGGAATGAGAGGGATCTCCAGACGGGTTGAATTTTACTTCTTTTTAGGAAACCGGGCTTGGCTGGGAATTCATTTCAGCCTTAACTCAAGTAAGCAAATTAGCTATTTCTATTCTATTTTAACACACAGCAAGCGTTCTGAGCACCACAGCAGAAAAAAATGAATTTAGTTTTTGTTCACTATGCATTACGGCTAGGTGGCGTTGGCCGCCGCCCGATCTAATGAATACAACTTTATCAATTCATCCACGGCGCTATTTTACGAAGTTTCCGAGATTTCGCACGAAGAAATCCAACCAACAAATCATGCGCAGCAGCATACCTGAGAACAACCAGAATTATGTGCACTGTCAAACGCGCCCTTTTCCGAGTGTCGTTTCTCACCTGCACTGAAAGTACTTTGATAAAACACAGGTGGAAAAGAACACTTGATACGAACATGACGTTGAGGGCGTAATAGCCTTCTGGGGACATGAACCACGTCTTGCGGTCACCCTTCGGTGCGATGAGGCTGGCGTCCACGCACCCGACTACGCCGGGAAAGGCACCGCGCCGTCGAAAAGCTTGCTTGATGGGCGCCTTGTCCTCCGCGGAAAGTGCAGCCACCGACTGCAGGTCCCAGCGTGGATGATCGCCTCGGCCACACGTCGCACGCACTTGCTGTCCGCGGGCTGAGTTACGCCAGTCGTCTGGTCGCTTTCAACTGAGGAGACCTGAGAGCTCCCTGTCGCGAAGAATCGCAGAGCACTTGCTGCTCCGCTGACAGCGTCGTCGTTCGCGCGTCTCCGAGTTCCCCGGCCAACTCGTCGCACAGCAACCACATTGTTTCTTTCGTCAAGCGATAGTGTTGCCGAAAGACGTCGTCAGGCACGTCAAATGCGGCGTCAGGCTCTTCTTTCTCAAGACCGCGCTGCTCAATCACCGCTGGCGCTTCTATTTTGTATTCTGTCTGCGATATGGTTGCCAGACGGTGTTATGAAAAAGATGCCGGCAATTCAAAGTGGTCGAACGGGTTAAATCGAGTTATATTTTTTATCGAGCTACCTTCAACCGCGGCAATGCTTTCACGTAATTGCATTGGAAAATATATGGCTACATTGAAGAAATCGAGCCCGAACAATCGGCAAGTGCGAAACTCCCCAAGAGGTTGGCTTTTCCTCACAAACGTTTGGGTTTTCCTCACGCAAAGGATGTTTCCCGCATGAATACGGAAGAGCGGGTAGTGCGATTGCGAGATAGAGCGGGAGAGTGCCGTGTAAGTGTTCTGTGGTCGTATCTGTGGTAAAATATTCTAGAACACAACGTGGAGCGAACACAGAGTAGGTCGTGGGAGCGACAAAGTGCCGCTTCAAGTGCATCAAAGTGCATGGAGGAAAGAAATGGAGGAAGGAAAAACCTTATTTTTCCTTCCGTCATGTACTGCGTGATTTATCGTCGTGCATCGTTTCTCCATGGTCGTTCATGCTGTTGGCCCCAACGTTAAATGGTTGGCCCATCCCAACGTATCTATTAGCGTTGGGACCATCTACGTGGAAATAGGCTGATTGAGTTCAACGGGCGAATTCAAGTCCTGCCTTCGGATGGTTTATAGCTACATTGAAATTTCTGAAAGGCGGCCATTGGTATAACCACCGCGTGGTGATGAAATCGTGATAACTTAGCAGGCGAAACCGAAACCGACGCACCAAACACAGTGCACCTACGTCGTTTATCTCGCACCGGGGGAGGAGGATTAGCGAGGGTCAATTCAAATTGTGAAATCAAATGTGAGGCATAAGGTTCCTTGCGCGTTTGAAATCTATGCGCCAATAAACCGACGACTTGAGGCAGCTCCTGAGTGATTTTGCGTAGTATCATTGTTGCGCCCCTGTCGCTTTGGAGACTTCACAAAGTCGAGCGGCTAGTAAAGGGGTGTTGCCATCAAATTTAAAGGCTATGCCAAACCTGTTATGGGTTCTTCAGGATTCAAGTACACGCCACTCGAAGGGTTGGACACAGCAAACGCGTAGAACACATTAATTCACGTGTACCTAAAAGCTCTCTCGCGATCGAAGCCCATCGCTTGCGCAGCAACACTGACGTAGCAGTATAGGAGAAGCAAGCAGCAAAAATTGTAGTGACGTCACACTAGATATGTAGTGACGTGCGCTCACCACCTCCAAAACGTGCGTACAAAGGTGTTCTGTGCGCTGGCAAAGCATTGGTTACTACTTCACTCGCCAAGGTTTGATTTCGCGTCGCATTTTCGGGAGAACCTGCGAAGGCACTAAGCACGCTCTGACAACGGCACTAAGCGTGCTTGAGTGCTGAAGGCATCCGGTCGGTGGCCCGCGCAGTGGGCATGCCTTTATACTATTGTGTGCTAGACTTCTGCCCTAGCAAATTCGGAGACCCGGTGAGTTTTCACAAGTTTCCCCGAGACGAACAACAAAGAAACGCCTGGACGGACTTCGTTCGGGCTGCCGGGCGGCGTCACTGGACACCGAGAAAGACGAGCATGCTGTGTTCATTGCACTTCAGCTCGGACGCTTATCAGTCTATGTACGCGGCGAGCTTCGGAATTCCGATCAAGCGTTTGTTGGCGCCCGGTGCCGTGCCGACGATGTACCCTGCTGCTGCGCTAGCTTCACTGGCGCGTGAAAGTGGAGCAGCTGCGCCGGAGCGTCAGGTTTGTATTACGACCTAGTGTGTTAGCTGGAGGCATGTTTGTTGACAGTGGCGCTAATGCTGGCGTATATGATGGTGTGTGCAGTGCGTGGCTGGCAGCGACGAGGTTAATCTCTACGTGGTCATAAAAAAAACATCATCGAGCACAGGTATTTGAGTTTAATTTATCTGTTTTGATATAAGCCTCAATAGTGTAGATTATAAGTGACGAAAATTAGAAATTCAAGGCAGCCTTTGGGTGATAGGCATGCTTTGATTAACCCACCAGAATTAGCCTCTTACAGACGAGTATTTTGTCATAATCTTGAAATTTGTTGTCATGACAATTTCGATTGTTGGTTTATACCCATGCAAATTAATAAAACAGGGCATCTGATGGACAACTTGCTAACATTATAGTGGGAACCATGCCACATATGGCCTTGTCCTCTTGACTGTACATGTGATGAACTAAACTTGCCATCAAGACTGATTCCTCTTATCATCCCCTCATGATTCAGCGTGTGATTATCACCCCAACACATCATCAGCATGCGCAGCCTCGGCAACGACTGGACGCAGTACACGTGACGGCCAGACGCAGTGCACTGTGCAGGTATCCCTCAAGTCAACACAAGTGTCACTACGTCCAAAGATGCCCAGCTTTGGCTCGCAGACTGAGAGTTCAAACCAGACCTTGGGTGCGTATGGAATGCTCTAACATATCTTGAATTCGCTTTAAGGGACACTAAAGGCAAATATTAAGTCAATGTTGATTGTTAAAATAACAGGCTAGAAACCTCGTAGTGCTACTTTTCTGCCTAAAAACTGCTTATTTTGAAATGAAATCACATTAGCACACTTGAAATGACCCTCCTCAAAGTGGAAACTTTCACGTCACTATTTCTGTGCATAATGTTACCCGGCTTTACTGCGCGACCGCTGATACTAGTAGCAGCAGAGCTAACGTAGCGGGAGCCGCAGCAGCAACAACATTCATTCTACACTTTCCTGCCACGACCTCCGAAATAGCAGATGTGCTTGGTTCAAAGGGGCCCCGCTAGATGACACAACCTGGCAAATTTAACCAGGGGAAAATGGAACTTTTGAACTACTCTTGCCATTCGCCATAGTAGTCACTGGCATTTTTCTTTCCTTGGATCAAACAGAAACAAACAAGCAGCATTTTTTTACGTCTCTTGATGTACGGAAGATTTTTTAAAATGCAGCTAGTTCGATTACTAGTGATGAATTGTAGACGGTGACTCTGACGTAATCAGTACCATTTTGCAAATGTCCTACACATAGTGCATGTGTTCTCGTGCATTTGCCTTAATTTCCTTGTAAGTAGGGCGCTGCTGTTGATAATACTCTTGTTTTAGACGTCATACATTGAGCTTTCACTCTGACATAAACTGTTGTTGGGCTTTAGTGTCCCTTTAAAATGCAAAAGAAGCAGGCACGCACGCATAGTGTGCATTGATGAGTTTGGATATGAGGGGCTGGAGCAACTCATTGTTGTCGAGTTTGTCGTGTGAGTGACAGCCCGGACGTGCTTGTCAGGGTGAGACTCCTGCCACCTTGATGGTCTAATGCTTATGGCGTTTGGATGCTTGACCAAAAGACACGAGTTCGGTCCCAGCGGTAACGGCTACTTTTCATAGGAGGCAAAATACACGAGACCCATGTACTGCCCAGTGTTGAAAAAACACCAGCTTTTTGAAATTATTGCATGTTTTCCTTTTGTTGTGGTATCTCTCATAGTGTGACTCACAACCTATTGCCCAAGCAACATGTGGCTTCCCAAAAAATGTGATTGCCACTTGATGAGCATTGTTTTGTAAACGAGCACCCAAGAAGACAAAAAAAATTTATGGTACGGCACTGGTGTAAAGCAGCAGGCAGGCACACTTAGTGCAGAGGTGTACGAGCTTAAAATAAAAATAGCAGCTTCTTTGCCAAAGACTTGGCTATGACCATTTTGTTTAAACGCGGTGCTGTGCAACGGATGGGCACGTATGATGTGCAACAAGAAGAGAAGTCCCATGCCTGCCTTGGAATTTCATGACAGACAGCATTATTGACAAAAAAAATTCATTCGCTATAGCATCTTCAGCATGTTATATTGTATGGAGCTTTGTTTTAGTTCTTCGGGTTATTCGTGCAAATTTGAAAGAGTACTGACCCAAAAATGCAACTTTTGCTGCTAAGAACCCACTTATTACAGCTGTAAACGTCGTTTGCTTAAAGGGGAAACTAAAGAGAAAGAGTGACTTGGTCTAAATTCATAAACTGCATTCTGAGAACTCTATTTCCACAAGTTAATTATTAGTGGAGAAAATCAAGGACTAAGTTTAATTTTAAAGTTTCACTCCATAAGCTCTGTGCATGACATACGAAATTTCAAAATGTATTTTCGTTATTTTCGTAGCATTGGCTCCAGGAAATTTTCTGAAACTTCTTATGCTAAGTCCAAGGCACCGACAGATCGCAACGCACTTCATTTTTACAGATTGAAAGCTACCTTTGTACGAGAAGAAGCCTTCAAAATTTCTCACGTCACAGTGTTTGTGCAGGTATCTCAAGGTGGCGTCTCCAACCACATTTTTTTTTGCACGCTTTCTCGCATGCTGTCATGTCGTAGTAAGAGTGGTGTTTTCGAGATTGTGAAATTGTACTTTACTAATATGGGAGAAATCATTTCACACTTTAGTGTCTCTTTAGCACATGGCAGTTAATTATTTTGAGACGTTCTTATAGTGTCCAGTGGCTGTTTCATCAAGTGCTGAGAAAATCTAACGTGGTATGTTGGCAAGCATAGTCGGCCCATGACTCAGCAAAAGAGTAATGCACGCTGGCCTTGTGCCGCCTCACGTTCATGTGAGCACGAAAGGAGCGTAGATAGAAATTCGTGACATCACTGGTCGTTGGTTGTTTACACTAAAAGAAGGGGTATGGCAGTATATAGGTATACTGTGTGGAAGAAAACAAGTGGGTGAGGACTGCGCTTGCCTCCGTCTGCTCGACCTGGTTTTCTTCTGTGCCTTGTAGTAAGATCATGAATCATCAACTGGCCGCAGTGGCATGGCATGCACTTTAAAACTTATCTTGGGTATGTTTCATACATAACGATGAACTGATGACTCGAATGATAGGTTTCTTTTTTAATGTGCATGCAGACACTATTGTTTTGTTGCGTGGTGCTCCTAAACAGCAGACCTAATGCAGAAGGGGCGACACTTTTATAAAACAATTTTTTTTTTGTGGCAAGTGCTGAAGAAGCAGTGCCACAACTATACTTGTTACTGAGTACATGTTTTTTGCTGCGCTGTTGTGTTCCTATGTCCTTGATTGTTTAGTTTCAGCCTCCGTATTATGTATGGGGTCATTCAAAGGGGCCCTGCGACACTTTTGTGGCAGCCCTTTTGCACGCTACTTGTCGCGTCAAGCCAATCAAAAACAAACAGTCTATGTTGTCAGTTGCGTCACTGTCACATAACGTCATTTCCCATGTGTATTGATTGCCACAGTCCGAATTCAATGTAGTCTATCCCAACAATTAAAGTTATAAGAGCTTCAATTTCGGCATTACCACTTTTGGAATAGTATCGGTGAATTTCACAGCACCAGAACCACCAATGGAAAAGACATGCTCAAATTGTACCGCAGGGCCCCTTTAAAGGGAACATCTCATGAGTTAGTATTGAAGCCTGCAAAACGAGAAAGTTTATTGTAGTTATCTCTCAAGATGTCCATTGTGTCATGTCTAATAACGGTGCCGATAAACACAACAATTTTCTAAATCACATATTACATTGCTTAATGAGACATTTTAGTTACTAATGAGTTGTTCACCTTAGATTTGGAAGACCTTGTACTCATCTACAGCCCACTTCTCTCACAGAATGCCAGACTGAGTGTGGTTGCGTGGACAAGCAGCCTAATACAGGCAGCGTAAGTGCTCAACACCGGAACCACAACCAGAACCCTCACTGAGTTTTCTGGGTGATCCAATCAATGGCCATTACTCAAGAACCAAGTTATGAAAACATGGAAACGTAAGTGTGTAAGGTATATCTAAGTAAACATTTTTTTCAATGCATTGCTCACAGGCATACAACAAACTCTACCAACTCCTAGCATACAAGTAATGCTGATTTTTGGAGCATCCTTCCTGTCTTGTGTTCTTTTCTTAACCAAATCCGTGCTCCCCTAGGCGAGATGTCGTACCAACTAGCCCAGCAACTGACTATAGTGAGATATAGCTGGTCAGCCTATACAAGTCGTAAAGCATAAGATGTTTCTTGAGAAAGTTTATATTTTTATGTTAAAGTTTTAAGTATAAAGTTCATTTGCACTTCGTAAAATAGATGAGAAACAGACTATATTGCTTTGAAATTTTTTGTTTAGAGCTTATGCTATAGCTCCAAGAGTCGTTATGACTATGCTAAAAAAAGAAATTCTTGATAAATGATTTCTTATGTCATTAATATTGTAAATGACTTTTCGTTTATGGTTGTGGGTGTCACAGGGACATCACTTTATAAAAAGCTTGGTCACTTCACCCCAGAAATCTGTGCCACACAGCGCTGCAGCGTCTGCTCTTGCACACGTGTAACCAAACATCCAGATACCTTCATTCGGGCACGCTGTATGTCGTCTTAGCTGGTACGAGTGGCCATGCAAAGCACTTTGCGAAATACCGGTGAACATGCCTAGTCCTCTAAGTGCGGGTTTGCGGGCAATGATCCCTGTAGGCTGGTCTAGTGCAGTGGCACTGTGGGTCATTGCTCTCTACACATTACTGTAATGTGTGATGTCACTAAATCTTTCATTATGCTTCCAGCATAGTGACATCGGCACCAGTTGTGCTAGCCATGGACAGGTCTCAATCGCAAAAGTGAGCATTTGGGCATCTTTTGGGAAGCAAATTTAAATGTACCTTACATGCTTGCTGCGTCACGGCCGGGCAGACAGTGCATGCGTGCGCTTCTTTCCTCACGGCTTTTCTCACCCGTCTCAAATACAGTGGTAGAGTTTCGGAGTATGTTTCGCCTCCCGTCGGTGGTAGGGGCGCAGCGACCCTGACTTTGTATTTTCTGCGCCGCGCACACGGCACAGGGGTGCTTGTCAATGTGAAACCGTGAAATGAAGGTTGTCGACGGAGAGGGGGAGGGGAATTATTAAAGAAATCGGGAAAAGTGGGAGGATCATCTTCTTTAAAAAAAGAAAAACTAATCTTACCAGACGGCTTGCTGCTTAATGTAGGTATGAATGCGCTCGTGGATAATACAAGCTGCAACTCAGTAAAAATGTAGAAGAATCGGCTAATGAGAGGCATAATTCAGGAGGCATAAAGCACTGGTAATGATCAGAGAGAAAGATAAATAATGCTGCACCTGTTCTGCAAGCAGAGCGCACCAAATATTTTAGCCCTTGGTCCCGTTGGACAATGGCATCACAATTAAGAGTAGTTGCTCACAGAATAACGAGCAAAAAGCTAGCTATTTTCTATTTTTCTGTATTTTTCCAAATACATTTGGAGTGGTTTTCAGGGCTAAAAGCTGCGGTCTGCTGCCTGACAACTCTTTGAAGCATGTACATATGTTGTATATCTAATGGCTAAAAAACCTGCATATAGAGATAAAGAAAGTAAAAAAAAAAAAAAAAAACCAAGGGAGGGCCTTCGCTGCTGAATAACCCCTTCGAACGGCACGTACAGAGAGTGGTGGTGTGCATTTTCAAGGTGTTATCACTACCTGGACATAATGATTCCGAAGACCCCAAGCCATTTTGCATTGCTTTGTACTGCAAGCCAGGTTCATGAAGAATGCAGAGTACGCAGTTGCTTACGCTCGCAAGCCAGCTTGCTCCGAAACTGAAACTCTAGTGCAAATTAGTTCTGGGTTATTCTTCGGGTTCGTAGAAGAGCATGTTTAAAAATAGAAACTGACAACATTGCAACTTTTCGGCAAGTAAGCAGCTTTTTTTCTAATAAAAAATCTGTATGAATTCTCTTGTGGCTTAGTGTTACAAGCAGGTTGTCGTCAGTTTCCTTTTATCTTTAGTGTGGCTTGCTTTATTCTGAGATTCACTCACCATGGCTGCATTTCATTCGGTGCTTTGTCAGTGTTCAGTCTACAGTGATTTCTCGAGTCGAGAAGGCAGTTGCACAACCTTCACTACAGACATTACGCACATGGATATATATTAGCTGTGTGAAAGTGTGTTTCTGTGTTCCGTGTTGCGAGTTCTATTCGGGGAAAACACCCAGCGTTTCTTCTCACCACTTCCCAAACAATGCGGAGCTATGCGCCAAGTGACAAAAGAATATTGTGAGAGACAACTTCATTATTAACGACAAGTCTACATCGACTGTCGTATGCAGTAGACACTTGCACGATGTAGATTATGTGCCTGCGTTTCGCATCAGAAAACTTATTCCTGACTCCGCTCCTACTCTTTTCGAGGACTGTTCTTCCTACTTGATTTCAAGTGCATAGAAACCTCGCAAAGATCCTGCTTCATGGGCTTTGTCCCTACATCAAACATCAAGGAAGGGAAAAGCGGAGACCAAGGAAACAGATTTCGATGTTGCGACTTCACAAGACGGTTTCACTGAACAAGAAGCAGCAAGTGTTTGCACGCAAACAATAAACAGCAATGCTCATCACGCGGGTCCATAACAGGCTATGATAGGACAATTGCGCTCCCAAGTGTCGCACAATCGTTCAGAATGCGAGAAGGTGCAGCAATTGCTGAAAGAAGAGAAAAAGGCATCCCAATATCATCGTGAAAGCGAGCACCACACATGTGTCAAGAAAATCACAAGAGATGCACAGAGAGAAGAGAATAAAGGCGTGTTTCTTTTGCATCAACTAGAATGTGACAGAAGAAAGCATTCAGTGCACCCAGACGAACTTGTAAGAGGTGTGTGATATGGTGCTTTCTGTCACAAAGAGGCTACGATCATGCGCACACTTTGGGGCTTGTGACACTGTCAGCAAAGTGCATGCTTCAGAGGTATATAGGTCCAATCCCAGCATCATCAGGTATGAGCAATGCCGTAAACCATTTGTGCGTCTTCAACGATTAGGCAACTCGTTTTTCAACGTGTGGTGAGTGGAGAAGCGTGCTCGAACTCGTGCCAGCGTTGCGTGCGCTGCACTGAGCGGTGGAGGAAGGTCAGGGTTGCAGCGCCCCCCTCACAGCGGTGGTGAGGAGCATGTACTGCACCCGATGTGAAGGCCGTAAAAAGGGAGCATGCAGGTGCAATCTAGCCTGGCTGTGGCTGTGTCCAACACTTTGCGTTCAGCATCCTTGCGTACAGAGGAAGCGTACAGCAGGCTCTTTGTAGCCTTATGGTTTAAGTGTCCTAACCCTTTTAAAAGCTCTGTCATCTGTGGGCCAAGTGCAAAGGATACTGCGCAGAAACAAAGTACTTGTGTCAAAAGAAACATTGATTTGCTTTATAGTGTTCCCATCGCATCATGTCCTCAGAAGATCATCTTGTGTGAAGAAAGCCTGCTTGATCTTGGAAAGTTTTCAGAAAATGCCACCTCGCCAAGGAGTCATCACTGGAGACCGGATTCTGAGACACTAAAAAAGCATGTTCTAAGCGCCAAAAACAGGCAAGTAAACTGCGGTTTTAGGGTTTCAATGTCATAAATATAGGCGCAATAAATTTTTTCGTAAGTTCACATAATTTTAAATAAGAACATGTGCACAGTGTATCAACAACAGGAAGCAAAAGAATTGTGCCAATGGTTGAACATAACCATGAATTTGCTGCACGGTTGGCAGAACACGGTCTCCGCTTTTATTGTCTAGCATGGGGAGTCTAGTGTCCACTGTCTAATCAATGCATTCCTGGGTCTCTCTTTTCATCATGGCTGAGAAGGGCAGCACAGGACCAGATAGGCAGACCGCTAAAAGACCAGAAGGGAGAGATGTCTTGTATTAACTGTGTTTAATCGTGTCCATTTCTAACCTATCTGTGAGCAGGGCCCCTCACCAGATTTGAGCTTTCAGAGCTGACAAGTGCAATGCATGCGCTGGGTGCTCATGATCACGCCTGCCAATATTTGCATTGCTACGTGTCGCAGAAGGACATGAAATTTCCAGATGAACGCTGCTTCCCCTTTTCGTAAGCGTACGCCCTAAGATGGAATGGGTGGTGTACGACAAAAAATGCGCCTTCTCTTACATCACTCTTTTAGATAGACATTGGTACCCTGATTTTTCTCACCGTACACTCTTCATCGGGTCCTGGTTAAATGCTGCCTATAGTCATAAAAGCAGATAAGAAATGTCCCATTTTTTCGCCATTATCATTACTTTAAGCAGCACTTGATTGGGAGCATGCACGTGAGATTGCGAGAACCATTCGAGGCGACATGTGTAATTTATTCTTGAGCAGATGAACGAAACCTGAAAGAAATAATACACATACAAATAGAATGTGGGGTGTTTTTATTTTTATTATTAATTTAGAATTGTCGCGAGATGTTATACACTAATCAGCCTGCATTTCGCATGCGTTCGTCTTCTCGCCGTTCCTGCATTGTGCCGGCGCCAACCCTTGTGATGCTTTGCAAGCTTTTGGGGAATCGTCTCTGACAGCAGTACCAGTGGTGCAACGTGGTGTAGAGCAGTAAGGATGCATGAACCGTGCCAGCTTTTCTAAGCGTACACGAACTGAGGGATCTGTCCCTTAGAAACAGGAAATACACTACCGAGAGCACCGAATTGACAAAACATTAAAGGAGCACTGACACAAATTTACTCATGCCAAGATTTTTGCGTCAGCGAGTAGCTATGGACCCCGTAGCAGCGATTCGCGACCTAAAACGCAACTGAGGGATGAATAACTATCACATTTATTGATTTATATTACTGGGATCTTGCACTATTAAAGAACAGCCGGCAATCCCACCATTTCTAGCGCTAAGAACACCAGCAGTGGCGCTACCTTGCGGTCACCTCTAGATCACACCACAGCTGACCACTTCTCCACAGAAAAAAGTGATGTCAGGCTGAGCTGCCCCGCAAACATTTC